TCCTTCCTTCCTTCCTTCCTTCCTTCCTTCCTTTCTTTCTTTCTTTCTTTCTTTCTTTCTTTCTTTCTTTCTTTCTTTCTTTCTCTCTTTCACAGATTAGTTTCTCTATACATTAAAATTTTCACTGTCCAACTGAGTGTGATGGCACACACCTTTGGTCCCAGCACTTAGGAGGCAGATCTCTGAGATGGAGGCCAGTCTGGTCTCTATAGCAAGTTCCAGGCCAGGTAGGGCCATAGGAAGACCCTGTCTTAAAAAAAAAAAAAGGACAGCTCAGGCCTCTCTGGGGGTAAGTCTACCGTGCAGCCCTCCGCGCCTTGACTCCGCCAGCCGTGCTCACCCTTCCATCTCCCCCGCTGTTCTCTACTCCTAGCTTGGGCCCTGTGCCATTCCTAGCCTTGGGGCCCCAGACACCTGGGGAACCACTGCTGATTCCTGACCCTGCTCACCCCCACCGGCTTGGTGCCTTCCTTGGGCCCCAGGAGCACTGCCTCTGACCCGGCCCTGCCCTCACCTCTCTCTGCTCCTCCGGACCTGCACCACCCGCTAACTCTCCTGGCCTTCTACCCTATCCTCAGGCCTCTCGGGGTGGGTCCATCGAGGAGCCTTCCGCGCATTGACTCCCCCGGCCTCATTCGCCCTTCCATCTCTACCACTGTTCTCTGCTCCTGGTTTAGGCCCTGCGCCATTCTTGGTCTTGGGTCACCAGACACCTGGGGAACTGGTGCTGCTTCCTGATCATTTTCGACCAGGCCAGTTTGGTGCCTTCCTTGGGCCCCAGAAGCACTGCTTCCACGGGACCTGGACCCGCCCTCACCTCTCCCTGCTTCCCCGACCTGCACCACTGGCTAACTCTCCTGGCGCTCTCCCGCCCTCAGGCCTCTCTGGGGGTAAGTCTACCATGCAGCCCTCCACGCCTTGACTCCGACAGATGTGCTCACCCTTCCATCTACCCCGCTGTTCTCTACTCCTAGCTTGGGCCCTGTGCCATTCCGAGTCTTGGGGCCCCAGACACCTGGGGAGCCACTGCTGATTCCTGACCCTGTTCACCCCCACCAGCTTG